CTTTCCTTACTTTCTTTACTTATTTCCTTAACTTCCTTTACTTTCTTACCCAGTTTTTCAAAGCATCCATGTAAAATGAGAAATGAGAAAAATAAAACAGTTCTATCACTTGTCTGAAGGCCTCAGATGACTTCTTTAGAAGTTCATGAGCAGCACCTTCTCTCCAGACCCCCTCGTCTCATCTGCAGGCCTGGGAACATGCTCCCTCTGAACTGCTGATGTCAGAACGAGTTGTGAGTTTATGATGAAAATTACACCACCGGTGTTCGCAGCGTCGGCTCGGCCGCCCTTTTGGCACGACTCGCCGGTAGAACATTTTTACCCCGCCTCCCGCGACGGCGGTGATGTGTGATTGGTCTGAAGTTGGTGGGCGTGTTTGTTCATGCAGAAAGCATAAACAAAGCACTCAGACTGAAATAAAATGTTTCGCTCCAACTACTGTGTTTGTATTTGYAGAACCCGGGCCACCCAGGATCTGGGTCTTTAGTTCATGAGGGCTGATTCCCAAACCATACAGCCTCCTGAGATCCAGGAAACAAGACCAGAGACAGGAAGCAGTCCTGGTTCAGTCCACTCACCTGAGACAGCTCTTTATGAAGTCCCGCCTCTTGTTTTCATCTTTGATGCTCTTGTACTCTTTGTACTGGAGCAGCTGTTGCCATGGAAACAGGCATTGTGTTACATACATGTGTACTTGTACACAAATGGGTTTTTATTTTAATTTTTTTCGTTTGGGACTGTGTGTAAATAAAACATAATCTGATGCACTGCACCAGATTTAGCCTAAAGCTAATTTACATCTGTAGTCCCATCAAACAGTAAAACAGAAAAAGGAGAAATAAATAAATAAATAAATAAATGAATAAATAAATAAATAAATATAAAATAAAACATTTTGATATTAAAACACATAAAACGCCCCACTGAGCTGTACTTACTGCGACATCCTCCGTCCTGCCCAGAGTCCTGAAGAGAAGAACAAACAGTCAGACCTGAAGAAACTCAAGAAGAGTTCAAAGTCCAGGTGAGTCCAGGTGAGTTCAGGTGAGTCCGGGTGAGTCCAGGTGAGTTCAGGTGAGTCCGGGTGAGTTGAGTTCAGGTGAGTTGAGGTGAGTCGAGGTGAGTCCGGGTGTGTTCAGGTGAGTCGAGGTGAGTCCGGGTGAGTTCAGGTGAGTCTGGGTGAGTCGAGGTGAGTCCGGGTGTGTTCAGGTGAGTCGAGGTGAGTCCGGGTGAGTCCGGGTGAGTCCAGGTGAGTCCAGGTGAGTCGAGGTGAGTCCGGGTGAGTTGAGTTCAGGTGAGTTCAGGTGAGTTGAGGTGAGTCGAGGTGAGTCCGGGTGAGTTGAGTCGAGGTGAGTCGAGGTGAGTCCGGGTGTGTTCAGGTGAGTCCAGGTGAGTCCNAGGATGTATAACTTCACAATAAGTGTGTTTATCTGGGAGGGGTGCTGTTGGATAGATCATGTGTTGTGATTCATTGACAGTCATACCTTCTGCTGTTCAAGATAATGATGACTGGTAGATAATTAGTTATTAGCGGTACTGCATTTTAATTTTAGAAATCGCAAATATGCTTATGAATTATAATAATTAGTAATACCGCTAAAGCACAAATTAAATATTTAGGTCCGCAATTAACGCATTTGCGCTTTAGCGGGCTGGTGCCCACCACTGCTGTTCAGTTTATTTATATAGCGCCAAGTCACAACATACGTTGTCTCAGGGCACCGTACGTGAAACAAGAACAATCTAATGATTAGATTCTTCTTTAGATTGTTCTTGTTTCACGTACAGTGTCCTGAGACAACGTACGTTGTCTCAGGACACTGTACGTGAAACAAGAACAATCTAAAGAAGAATCTATTCAATGACTTCATTCATTAGTTAATAAACTTACTGTCTGTGAAACTCTGCAGGTTTCCTCCTTTAGTTTTTCCTGCAGAAACACAGATTAAACATCAATCACATCATTTCTGGGTCATCTGGCCCACTTCCTGTTTCCTGCCCGCAGTGACGGGCGCTGCAGATGTTCTGCAGAAGCGGCCGTGGATCATTTCTACCCAGCGCGCACCAACGCCGCGCCCTCACCTTTGAACAGGGAACTCAGGGACAGTCCGGACTGGCTTTTGTTGAGGCTCGGCCTCTCCGTGGTGATTTTTGGGAAGGCGGGCTCTCTGTCCGGCTTCTGATTGGACGCTGCCGTCTCTTTGACGGACCAGGAAATACCTGAGGACGCAGGAGCCGTTGGGGGGTCAGGAGCCAGCAGCCAATCACAGCTCAGGATTCTCCTCGGAAACGAGTGACTTACTGCCGACCGGCTCTCCGCTCCAGCTGACCTTCTCCACGTCGTCTTCGTCGTCGCCATCGTCCACCAGCTGCCGGATGCTGTTCACCGCCTGCCTCGATTCTTTTAACTGCAACGATAAACTGAAATTAAAAACTTTAAATAAAAAAAATAATTATTTGATGCTCATTTCAGGATGTGTTGCCTTCTCCTCTGCAGCTTTCAGTCGCTCTCATCTTTAGATATTTATGAATATTAAAATAATGATTCTGAAGTTCACCTGCCACAGAGCACAGCTGGTTCTGGTCCAGGTTCTGGTTAGAGAGGCTTACCCTGCTGAACTCATCATCTTCATCATCGAAGGTGAAGGCTTTAAACTTGGAGCTGTTCCAGTAGTCTTCCTCATCTGCTTTACCTTTCATCATCTGGACACAAAGAACCAAAACAGTTTAAATGAACCTTAATTTATTTTATTTATTTTGATAATTTATTCGTCCAGGCTCCACTCTGTGGGGCAGCTCTTTACTGTTGCAGCTGTAGTAGGATTTAATTGTTAGCATGCTAACGCACGTCAGCAAATAATTAGTTTTTCCTGACGTGTCAAACGGCGGGAAAAAATGTCGTCATTCCATGAATATAAAACCTTTAAACCGGAACAACAAAAACCACAAAACAACAAATAAAAAGCTGTTAAGTGAGCAGAATTTACCAGATGTTTTTACCTTCAGCGGCTCGTCCGTTTCCTCCCTTCTGACGGCGGCGTCACAACTTCCGGTTGCGCAGGGGCTTCTGGGAGTTGTAGTAAATTTACAGGTTTTTTTACAACTGATTTATTTGCTTAAAAAAAGGTTAATCTGGAAACTTTGTTAAAATAGTTTTGTTTTAATAAAGA